GCCACGGCAACGCGGCCATACTGGGTCCAACGGACTGAGGGGCCCAGGGCGGCGGCCGGCGCGGGCCTCGCGGGCAAGCCGGCAGCATGGACAGCGTCTTCGTGGAGGAGGTGGCCGCCTCTCTGGTCAGGGAGTTCCTCAGCAGGAAGGTAACGGCACGCCCCGCCGAAGCCCGGCAGTTGCTCTGATTTTGGGGGCGGTCTGGAGGGGTCCCCTGGAACCTTCGCACCTTCGTGGAGGGAGCTCTTCGCCTTCCTGCTCCAGCGTTGCCCCCGAAAAGCGCCGCTTTCCCGGGACAGGGGAAACTACATCTCCCAGGAGCCATTTCTGTCGTAGTCACCGGCGCTTCCGCAAAGCAGGGCCGGCCGCGCTGGCCGCTGCCTTCCCGAGGCGCCCCCTGTCCCGGGCGGGGTTCTCCCAGCTCCGGGCAGGCCTCAACCCGAGCTGGCTGCCACCTCCATGACCAGTCAGCCCCAAGACACGCGTCCCTCTAGGAAAGAACCCCCCCCCCCTTCCCCGAAGGGAACCCAAAAGGCCGACAGAAGTTCTCGACAGTCAAACCCTTCCGTCATTTTCTTCCACAGTGGAATTCCAGTTGTGTGGAATTAAGTTTTGTTTGTAAGTTCTCCTATCGTCTTGTCCCAGGAGAGTTAACAAGTTGGGGAGGTCCTTAGCTATTACCTGCCCTGCAGTGGAGATGGGGACCTGGTTGGGGAGGAGCGCGCTGGGGGTCACGGCACGTAGTGGGGGGCGCGCCCACGTGTTCATTCTGCACAGCGTGCTGAGGGCTGTGCGCGGCGGGTTTTGTTTCCTCCTGATGTCATACTGCGCTGGGGCGATGGGCACTTGTCTGGAATCACAACACACACACGCAAACAATTCTTTGAATGGAGGAAAGGGGAAGGACTTTGAAGTCAGATGGAGGGGGTTCAAATATTCCCTACTAGTTTGCAATGTGAGCTTGGGTACTCACTGCCTCAATTTCCTTATCTGTAAAACAAGAGAAATAAGACCAATGACCCTTTACAAATTTATGAGGTTTAATAATAATATATGGGCAGCTCCCAAGCTTTGTATCTGGCTTATAGATACAATGTGCACATACGTGTTCAACCTTATACCTCCCAACATGTGCACCTATTTCGAAAGTGCCTTTGTGTGCTTTTTATAATTTATTTCGTTTTAAAATGTTTTTAACCCATTTGGCTTTTTCGTGTCTGCTCTGCTACACTTTCCTGTGTTCATGAGCTTGGCAGTTACCAGCACTGCCCCCTTCCCATAATCTCAATAACAAGCACCCTACCCATTTTCATTTCCAACTCATCCTCTTTTGCAACCCCACATAAACTATTCTTCAACCTCACTGCATCCAGATTTCACTGCTCCTGCCGACTTTTCACAGTCACCCAGGCCTAGTGTAGTGTAATGCTCCAATTTCTTAACCACCCATCATTATAATCCCACGATCCACAAAATGCTTGCCCCTTGCTCTTCTCCCCCTTCGTCATACTCCCCTGATTCAGGTGAAATCCAACTCAGCTTACCCTCTGCCCATGGAGCTGCCACATGGGATTTGAGAAAACACTGCCATGTTGTGGGCATCACTCTGAATCCACAGCCGCTCACCGCTGTGATGCTGGAGGGCTGCCTGCCCACCTGGTCACGCCTCTGCAACCTGTTCATGCTCTGAAGTCCTGGATGACCATTTCACACCTTCTCCCTCCCTCTTCAAACCCCAAAGCTCCTTCCCCATCTAATGTCACTGAGAAAACAGAAGGAGACAAGGGAAAAGTCCAACAGACACCCACCACCATGCTCACTAACCTTGCTGGGCCTGATCCATCCACTCCATCCTTCCTCATGTTCCCATGCAGGAATTCTCCATCCTCCTGGGGAAGGCCAGCCCCTCCACGTGTGCCTGTTCCCACTTGCATGCTCAAGGACACGGCCCCAGTTATCATCATTGCTCTCTACTGCACCATACATTTTTTCTTCTCTACTGGGTGTTCCTATCAGCACATAGATGTGCTCCCACAGAATCCCATTGTGACCCTCAACCCCTCCAGCTAGTGGTCTATTTTTACTTTCTGTTTTATAGTGAAACCCCATGAAAGCTATGTATACTCTGAATCTAATTCTTCTTGCTGCTTTCTCAAGCCAATTCGAATCAGGCTTTTGTCCCTCCAATCTTGGAACAGCTGTTGTCGAGATCATCACTGATCTCTGACTTTCAGTCCTCACCCTTCTTGATCTAACACTTGTGTTTGTCACAGTGGATTATGTCCTTCTTCTTGGAAACTTATTCTGCCTGGCTTCTAGGGGATCAGCTCCTTCTGGCTTTCTTCTACCTCTCTGGTCGCTCCTTCTTAGGGTCTTTGCTGGTCCCCTCACTTCCCTGACCTGTGCATGCTGGTGGGCTTAGAGACTCAGTCTGTGGCCCTCTTCTCCTCTCCATTCATCTCGAGGCATGAGGCATCACAGCCAGTCTTACGGATTCTTATACCATTGGTATGCTAACAATCCCAAATGTCTATCTCCCTGAACTCTTGAATTCTTTTCAAATGCCTATTCTACATTTCCACTTGGGTGTCTAATAAACATCTCAATTTCACATGTCTCTGATAGTGTTTCTACTCACAACACTTAGAACACCAAATGTATGAGGTTTTTTTCCTCACAACAACCAAATCTCCAATTCTTTGGACACCAGCTGGGTGTCCTACAGTTTTAATCCAATTCTGACACTAACAACCTAGAGTTTGTGCAGGCCCTATGTTATCCAACTCAGGACCGGCTGCCTGCCCCCTTGAAAAGGAAAGAAAAAACCTCAGAAGTCAAACAGTTGGTGTTAGAAAAGCAGATGTATTCAGCTGAAGGAGATGGTAGGCTACCCCATCTCAAAAATTTATATTTGCTGAGGGGTTTTTAAAGGAAGGGTTGAGGGAATGGAATGTGGGAAGTGAAAAGCAGGAGAGCAGGAGATGTGAGTTACGAGGGGTTCGTTTCTATGGGTCAGGTACAAGGTCTTGTCAAGGCTTCATCTGGTTTCTGTTCTCATCTTTGTTGTTATCTCAGGACCCTGCAAGATTTTGATTTGCGTTGGTGTATTTGGCTAGTGCCCAAGGCCAGCTTCAGTCATTTGGCCTTGATCATTTCTCAAAACTCTACAAGTCTCAAAGAAAGAACTGTTAGCTTTGCAAAGTACTAATTAGCTTCTTGGCCTTGCTTTCCTACTTAGCAAGATAAGAAAGTCAGGGGATGGGAAGCAAGAGGGGAAAGAAAAAAACTGTCCTTTTAAAAATCTCCCCCCTCCCTGCAGCCCACGCAGCTTTAGGTTCCAACATGGCTTCAGTCCTGCTCACTCCAACAATTCCCCACTGTCAATAGTTCCTTCCAGTTCTATGGAATGGGACACTGACTCATCTGACTGCTTCAAGCTGTTTTCAGCGTGCAGTAATGGTTAATGTGGAATGGAACTATTTGACATGATGGAGGACATAGCTTTTGGTGCCCAGCTGGAGTGGTGGAGGGACCAAGGGCATTTGCTTATTTATTATCTTAGCAGTTGATTGACAGCAGGTAGCTTAATCACAGTTAGCAAGCTATACATTAATTAGTACATCAAGAATTTTAAGAACTTACATGAATCATTTGTTTAGGAAAAGGATGTTTCATCCAAGTCCTTTTTTCTCTGTAGAGAACTGCTTTTGTAGACAAGATATTATTTACCCCTTTTGGATCAAGGCATTCCTCATAAAAGCACTGATGATCAATTTCCTGACTTAAAAAGTTTCACTTTTCTTTGTACAGATCCCTCGGCGCTGGGAAGGTTAATTCCCAGGTAGTCGTCTCCCATGTTGCGGTGAAAGATGAAACAGCAGTTAGGCCAAATTAAGGCAACATGAAGTGGGGTGAGGAACTTAGAAGAGACATGCTATTTTATCACCAATCTTTCCAATTGTATCCTGTTACAAAGAGAGAGCAAATTCTTATTACATTTATTTAAATAACCATATTGCTGTAAAAATCAGAAGGATACTCACAAACAGTTTTCAAATTTGGAGGAATCAAAGAGGAAAAAAAGCAAATATTTCCATCTTTGTTTATAAAGTACATTTTACCAAATTGCTGTAAGTTATAGATAGCTTAGAGACAACATTTCCTTAAATCTGGGAAACAAAACATTTAAGTAAAGAACAAACAATGAAAGTTACAAAACATTTTTATCAGTTATTTAACTTTGTGTAATTAATTTTTGCTTTGCTTGATCTTAATTAGTAGTTCTATAAATTCATCAGATTTCTTATTAGAGTTTTGAAAAAGTTTTATTCTGTCCATTGATCTTAAAGTTTTTTGAAACTTGTGTTTAAGAGTACTTGTTAGAGTCTTTTCCATGAATCTGATTGCAGATGTCTTTAGAGAAATATCAAAACTTTTGCAGTTTTATTAAGAATCTGACTTATACTTTAAGAAAAACTTCTAACATAGGGGAAATTCAGTTTGTATCAATGTCTTTTTAATCTCAAAGTTCAATCTTTAGAAAGACTTAACTAATTCCCTTTAAATCATTGCCAACTTAATCACACACAAAATTCTTCCATAAATTTACCTTTCACATAACATTATTACGACTTACTCAGACATTTGATGACATGTTTTAGATTTTTTTATTTTGTACTATACTTCCTCTTTCCTAAACAAGCAGTTGTTTTGCTCTAGGACAAAAATTCATTACATAAGATGCTTTTTGCATAAAAGTATTTCTTTTCTTTTTAACCTTCTTAACCACAACTACATCTCCATATCCATAGCTTTCTTCACATCTCTTCTTCTACATACTGATTACTTTCTCATCAACAATACTAAATTAGCCTCATTTACCTAAAAATTTAATAATCAGTGATCATTCTGTTATAGGCTGGGTTCATAACTTTAACTTTAAAAATCTCTAGCAGAGACAAATATAATCCTACTTGACCAGTAAACCCAAGCAGATAATTCTGAAAACATTTCTCATAGTGGTCTGATTGACAAAAAAACCTTTTTACTTTTTTTTTCCTTCAGTTTTAGTTTCAAATGAGTTTTGGGTTAAATTCTCAAATATTTACATTTACTTAAGACTGGCTGAGTTGTATAAGAAAAAACAAAA